CCTTAGCTACTAGGCGATCATTATACTCATAAGCTAAACCATCAGGTTTAGTTTTTCTTATAGGAATCCATTTATTACCTTGGCTTCATTGCCAGGAGGTAATTCTCAAAGATGCCAAATCTTGTTTGGTTCCACCATATATTACCCAAGGCTTGGCAACCAAGAGGTAACTCTACAAGATTCTAAGTCTTACTAGACTCCACAAATTCCATTTCGTTAATAATGGATTCTCCCACAAATCTGCACTTTTATGGAAATTCGAACTTCTAAAAGACTTGTAGGATCTCTTCTTAGGGTGTAAATTATAAATTCATAACCAAAATCTTTTCGCGATTTATGGTTCATTTGTCTCTTTTGAGTTCATACTCAGATTCATCACCCCACTAGTTATCCATTATTTCTAATAGCAGACAAGATATCACCCCCACTATTTCACGATTTAAATGGAATGGCATCAATGGATTCCACATGACAATGAGTATTTCATTTCATAAGCTTATGTGTTCTACTACTGATAGCACAACAAACAAAACACTCTCATGCTCATCTTATATTGCACTAATTCTCGAACTATACCATATGAAGGAAACATTTCATAAAAAACGTTTTACGTCAAAAGCTGATGACTCAATATATACACATGTTTTTGTCCATCATTCTTATATTGTTTGGGCCTCATTTCTGGTGTTTTAAACCGATTTCACGCTAGGTCGTTCTTGTTTGTGATATTTCAGGTTCTAGTACGTGAATGAAGGTTTGGGCACGAGTTCGGGATCGATTGGACGAAGTTGGGACGTTTGGCGAGATGTTGAGGAAACCACACGGCCAGGCCAGATTTTCACACGCCCGTGTGACTCGGCAGTGTGGCACTCCTTTGCGCGGGCAGGCCACACTAGCCTTGTAAGGGCCACTTTTGGCCGTGTGTGATTTCCAGAGAGTACACACGGGCAGGCCAGATTTCTACACGGCCGTGCAGTTCTGGCCGTGTAGCGCACCTTCCATCACTTATTCAAACGCCGCATTTTGGGACTTCACACAGGCAGACTGGGGATTCCACACGGCCGTGTGGCATGGAGAGATACGAACTTTCAGAGCAAAAATTGTTTGAAATCGAACAGGAAGAATTAGGTTACCGATCTGGCTGAGTCGCGGACTAGGTCGCTCTCTTTAAGACGTTCGCGGCACTGCCTCGTTCTTCGCACAGTAGACTATCAACCGGTCGCCTCCAGGATAAAACAGTCACTCTTTTAATTTGCTCAACGATTTTGTGCGAAATATTGGAGCTCTTTGAATCTCTCTCTCTCTCTCTCTCTCTCTCTCTCTCTCTCGTGTTTCCGCTCTCCGAGGTCTATTTAGAGGGTCTAGGGATCTGCTATTTATAGGAGCAGAAAACCTAGAATATTCCCTCTTTCTTTGGGAATAAGTCACATTTTAATTAGAAATATAATCACTCCCATAATTAAAATATATTATACTAAGATAACTAATCATAATTATCTCTATAATATCCTTCTTATTTCATATTTAGAAAGAATACGGGATAATTAATTCAATATAGCTTTCAAAACTATTCATTCCCAACAAAATTGTAGGTTATTTAATTAATATGGGTATTTAGCGAATTGTAAGTAATATAAAAACTAAAATAATTAACTCAATTAATCTCTTAACCGACGTCTTATTCTCTTCCTTCCAGCGGAACGGTTTTCTCTGAAAGTTTCTGTCAAGCAAGGTTCTCCGCCGGTCCCTTCGGCTCCTAGCAAGGTTCTCCGCCCGTCGTTCTCCTCCCAGGTGACCTCTGCAGCGACAACAACCTTCTCTCGCTTAGCAGCGGCGTCGCTTCGATTTCTGGCAGCGCTTCCCAGTTCCCGTCATCGGCATGCAACGTCAGCGCTCCCTAGCTCCCTCAACGGCCGCCAGCTACCTCCAGCGCCCCCAGCTACCTTTCTCCGGTTGGTCTCCCAGCAAAACATCTCCGAGCGAGCAGGTGCTTGGGACCATGGTGCTCGTGGTTTCCTTTCTTCTTTATTCCATGTACTGATAATTCATTAATTAATGAATCACTATGTATCTGCTAATTTTGCCCGCTTACTTTCTCTTCTTCTTTCAATAAAAATTCCTTGTCTAGATCGATGGCTATTGTTTGTACTAGATCAGTGTGTGTACTGCACCGTGAGTGAGTGTTTATGTGTTATATATGTATCTGTTATGCAAGGGAATTAATGAAGATGTGTGATCTTCAATATTATCAATTGTACCAAACGGTTGGTAGATTTTACCCGCCCAATAGTCAATGTTTGTCGTATTGTGAATGTTGTCTTATAGGGTTTTCATTTTTCAATTATGCTATGTTGCGTTATTAATTTTATTATGGTCTTTTCATAAATTTGTTGGTAATCGACACTTATTTACTAATATCGTTATTATCAATTTAGTTCATAATGATTTGTAATATTTTGAAGTGCTATCGTCAATCATGCAGGATTTGAGAATGACCCGTCTCATTATTAAGAGTGTGCAATTATTAATCTGTCTGCTGAACTAACGTGTAGTATTATCAATCGTTGTTTATTAACGTTTCTACATCTATTAGTAATAATATTTTCAAAGTCATGTTCAATTTTTTACTAGTATGTGATTACTAATCTGTCGGCTGAGATAACGTGTGTTATTTTTAATATGTGATTATTATTAATGTTTCTTTACACATTATTAATATTTAACGTGGCACTATCAACCATCGTGCGTGATTTGATAATGGCCCTTCTCATTATTAAGCGTGCGCTATTATTAATCTGTATGCTAAATTAATGTGTAGTATTATCAATTGTTGTTTATTATTAATGTTTCTTCATCCATTAGCAATATTTTCAAAGTCAATGTTCAATTTTTTTACTAGTATGGCATTATTAATCTGTCGGCTGAATTATCGTGTATTTTAACAACCTTTGTTCACTAATTACGTTTTTTTCAGTATTCGTAATATTTTCAACGTTATTATCAAATTTTTAGAGTGTTATTATTAATCTATGATCACTATTAACATTTCAATACACATTATTAATATTTAACGCAACATCATCAACCATTTTAATGTTTTCCCCAATAACTATATGTGCAAGCATTATCAATAATTTTTCATTAGTAACATTTTTTATTATGTTTGTAAAATTTTTTTAAGGGCTGGGAGGCCACGGTGGGTAGTTTTATGGTTGGGAGGAGAATCATTTTTTCGAAAATGGTTTATGGCGGCCCTTTTTTGGTTTGTGGGATAATTCCTTGTTTTTCCTTTTAATTATTAATGTCATTTCAGTGTAGTGTAAGGCGATAAAATTTAAATTTTAACATATATAATAAAAATACTTCATGCATATATTTCAACGAATCATGACCGTCAACTTTTGTTTCTCAATAAATTGATCTTCGTGTATGAGATTTATAGAACTAAGACATAGATTTTGAATCTTTAAGGGTATGAGAATAATACCAGATGCCAAACTCCGGTCAATTCAAGGTTTATGTATCATTTTCATACTCAAGGTACGACATACCTTGGATTTTACCCGGGTTACGATAGAATGGTCTATATATATACATATATGGTTCATGCTAGCGTACGTCATTCGTACATTGTATGCCCGTCGAATTTTACTATTTAGAGCCCGATTTAACCGGATTTTGGGACATGATACTATACCATAACCTCTAATGGGTGAACCCCAGTCCCTAATTCCCAAACCTAAGCCCCAAGATTCATTTAATATAAAAAAATAATGACCAACGGTTCTGATTCAGCAAAATATATTGAAGTGCAAAAACCAAGTGTGAACACAGGCATACGCTAGCCTTTACCACACACATATATATATATATATATATATATATATATATATATATATATATATATATATATATATATATATATATATATATATATATATATATATATATATATATATATATATATATATATATATATATATAGGCTTCTACCGTGCCCAGGTAAAAAACCAGGTATGAAATACCCAGGCGATCCTCGCCATTCATTTCAATCTCGACGGTCTGTGTTTATTTAACTTAAACGACCCTATATATAATTAAACAAATTACATAAAGCCTCTTAAGCGTTAAAACAGTTTTCACTAGATTCCAACTAAAAGCCAACCAAACTACACCCGGTTAAATAATATCGATTAAAGAGTTTTGAACCCATTTGGCTGACTTGTGATTATGAATAAACACTCCTTTTATGACTAAGTTGAGTTGGACGGGATCTTACTTGTTTGTGGGTGTAGCAACCGTCCCTCGGGGTCGTTGGGTCATGTTCGCTTTTGGAGTCGCCACCGATCTTATTTGGAGTGGATCGAACACTTTTAGATCGGCTCTAACCTTAGGGTCAGAACTGAGACATGGTATGCAAAATAGAAATCTATTTTCGGGAGTACGGTTACGTGTGGGGAAGTGAAATCACACCCCACAACGCCCAAAATTGGTACTACTTAAATCGATAAGTTTTATACGAGTTGGGTGTTTTTTTAGTAAATATGTATTTTTAGGGTCCCACTGGACCATTTAAGAATTTAAATCATATTACTTGTAATTTAATTATACGCCTACTGACGTAAAATTTAAAGATAAAGTTAGTTGGTTAGTTGGATTCGAACCTTATCGGCTGCCTACGTACCCGTTAGACGGGATCAAAGTCCACGTAGTTCGTAAAACTTTGATAATTTAATTGTAACCACGTTCCACTGATCTTGATTCTCGTAGTAAGGATTTTTTTTAATAAAATTTGAATAAGCTATTACGAGGTTGTTAGGAGAAATATAATAATTTTAGTTGTTCGGAAGATACTTGACGTATTAGAAAAGAAACGGGATTAACTTAATCTGCATTCGAATTTTTGTATTAAGAATGATTAAATTTATGCATGATGGGCCAGCAGCCCAACTTGTTAAGTTGTCAGTCATAGAGGTTTGTTCCCGAGAATGTGGGTTAAAAACTCGCCAACTACATTTTTTGGGCTAAAAACTCGCCAACTAAGCAGAAAGCGGCCGCCGCTGAGCCCTTCTCTCTTCTTCCTATATGGAAGAACAAAACAAAAAGAAAGAACAACTTGCCCTCTCCTTCTCGCTTGTTTTCCAGAAGAGAACGACTCGCCTCCTCTTTGTAAACACACGGCGCCTCTCTCTCTCTCCCTCGTGAATCCCTCCACCTCCTCTAAGACGAAAGAGAAAACACGAGGAGCCTCTCCTTTTCCTTTCACCGCCGATCTCCTATCCTCTCGATCTGCCGCCGGTGACTCAAATCTAGGTATAGCTAGACATGCATTTTTTCCGATTCGTTTTAAGTGACCTTGAGGGGTTTTGGTTTATGATATTTTTTGTTTTTTTTTTTTCTGGTGGCTTTTGCTTTCGGACGAGGAGGAGAAGGGAAAGGAAGGATCCGCTGGCGATGAAGGAAAATCCACCACTGGAGAAAGAAAAGAGGAGATCTGGGTACCTAGGTTGGTTACTACCTAAATTTCGAACCTACTTTCCTATTTGGTTTTACTTTATTTTTCTGATTGTTTGATGCATTTTTATACAGGTTTTGCAGAAGGCAGAGATTTGGCTGAGGTTAATCCCAAAACTCCGCTTAGTATTATTAGGGATATTGAACTAAACAAAAGATGATATCATAGTAGGTTTTTAGCTTGTTTATGGATCCGAATTTATGGAAAAATGGTTTTGCTGACTTTGACTTGCTAATCTGCAATTCTCATTATCTGAAAAATCTGGGGTTTTTTACATGAAGATTTTTTAATTTTTTAATTTGGGAATGATTTACAGATCTAAGTTCTGGTGAAAACGGTTGCCTAAATTCCCTTTAGAATTAAATTAGTTTTTTTATAGTAAGAAAATCAATTTCACAAAAAACTCCGTTAGTTTTTTAATAGGTTATCTCATTAATTATCACAACCCCTGCTTGTGATTTTACTAGACTAATGACTACAAACCGCTGCTACTGCTTGTGTTTATGCTAGACTATGGACTATAATTATGCTACTGATTGTGATTTTAATTAGATTAGGATATTTGGGACTAAATATTATTGCATCAAGCATTGGTGTGCTTCTATCCTGTTACGATGACGAGATGATGATGTTTGTTGTTGGCACAGGAAGGCTCCTACCACCACCATCATCAGTTGACATTCACGATCAATTTGGCACTCCCATTGCCTATCATCTTCTTCCTGTCGCCTCTCCTCAGCTTCTCTATTGGGGGAACTCATGATGCATAAAAAGCTTGATGAAATGTAGAGGGAAGTACGAAATTGTGATAATGAGAAGAAGGTTTAATGGTTGGGATGTGTAGAATGGCAAAGTTTAGCCTCCATTTATAGAAACTAGCCTTTACCCGACCCGTTGGTCGGACGAATTTTGTTTTATTTTAAGTTGATTAATTCTAAATATTTTTAAATAATTTGGAATTTTCTAAAATAATTCATTCATTATTACAAAGTAATCTTTATGGAATTTTCTCACTCCTATCTCTGATTCTTCCTTTCCCAGTAGCCTCCGACCACCAAGTTTCATTCGACCACCACACTCTGCCGGTAAAATCCCTCCGACAGACTCTCTCCGATCACCTGCGAAAATATACCACTGCACTGATATGTTGTACCACTGTACTAATACTCAAATATGACATTGATACCAGTGCACTGATATCACTACCAGTGCAGTGGTACAACGTATCAGTGTAGTGGTATATTTTTTTGCAGGTGGTCGGAGGGAGTCTGCCGATATGATTTTCTTCGGAGAAGTGTGGCGGTCGAAGGCTGTTGAAAAAGAAAAAATCAGATATAGGGAGAGAGAATGTATTTAGTGTAGGTTTTAATTTGAAAAAAAACAAATAATTAATATGGTGCATTTAATTCCTAATGTGTATTTAATGTATGTATTAAATTTTATAATTGTATTTAATACACCGGGGTGTCATTTTTCCAACCCCTCAAGGGGGTTAGCATGCTAACCGCCCCAATCACTTGTAAGGCAAGTGAATCATATGATGTCAATTAACTCTAAGCATTGAACAGGTGTTCCACGTCCCTTATCGTCGTCACTCTTGGAAACAGAAACTCCAAGTAACATAAGAGCATAAAAAAGCACCAAGTCTTAACGGAATCAGGAACACTGACTATTTGAATCAAAGAGCTTCTTTAAACTAACCACCCCGAGTTAATTGGTATTTTACATACTCCCGCAATCACCTATTACACGTAACTATGAGGAAACACAAATCACAATCAAAGGACATTCCATACACCAATATATAGAAAAGAAGTAATCTAAAAGCAGAAATAAAGCAGACGAACTTGGACCTGCGTAGATTGAAGTGCAGTTGGTGGGAATTCAGCCTCTTAGGAATCAATTTTGAAGTCGTCATTGCCTATAGCTACCGTTGTTGTGCTCTTCTTTTTACTGAACTCCATTGGAAATACAGCATCATAACAAAATTACCTAAAAACAGAACCACATAAAAGATTGACTGGGAACTAAATGACAAAGCAACAACATAGTCAAAAGTTAAATCAAATAATAGAACTCTAAGGAAGCAGTGGCATAATAGCTAACTAAAATGAAATTTGATAACCTCCTTGACCTGTTTCCTTCTCAGATTCTTCGTCTTTTGTCTAGCAACCCCCGAGTTGTTATAGCACGATGATCGAGAGTCTTTCATCATTTTCTCTTGGTTATTGAAAATTCACAGTGCAAAAAAAGACATCGTTGAACAGCTGTATCAATAATACATGAGTAGAAAACACAAAAGAAGCAAGGTACAAACATGCGGTAGTTTATTCAAGGAAATCTTTATGAAGAAAAATAGGCTAACTGCAACCATACAAAACTTTTAATCATACAACAGTACATTGTAGTTAAAAAATAGGCTAACTGCAACCATACAAAACTTTTAATCATACAGCAGTACATTGTACTTCACAAAAGTAGAAACACAAAGTAACCATAAAGCAGTTGCTTAGGAGTCATCCATGAATTAATAACGAAAAAAGTGACATTGAGAGAGAAGTGGCATAAAAAATTGGAAGAGTAGAGATGATGAATCTTATGCTTAGCACGTTGAGAAACTGCGGTCACTGAGCTGCCTGCATGCCACTCCCAGCTAGGGATGGCAATGGGTAGGGTCGGGTGCGGGTTTACCCTATACCAACTCCTAACCCGTCGGGCAGAGCCTTCTAAAATACCCGACCAAATAACCACCGGGTATGAAAATTATATAACCATACCCTACCCACCGGGTAACCACGGGTATTCGGGTAACCATGGGTACGAATCCTAAACTATGAACTTATACACATATACGCACATACATACTGTTGTCCATTAAAAATTCTCAATACTTGTAAATGTTATAGCTTCAACAATCCACACAAATAAAAACAACAAACACATAATAATTGTTCTTGCTTCTACAATCCACACAAATATAATAATCGTCTACATCTTCATCATCAATAATGGTAGCTAAACTCAATTTCTCAAGCTAAACTAAATTTCTCAAGGGAAATTGATCCTTTGGTTAGCGGGGCGGGTATTATCGATTACCATACCCGTACCCTACCCTTTATTTTGAAACTGGGTATTACCCGTACCCGCTCCTAACCCGTCAAAGCGGGTAATTACCCTCGTTGACCGGTTACAGTCGGGTAGGGTACCCATGGTTATGGGTTGGATTGACATCCCTACTCCCAGCACCCGCACACACTATGTACAACATACCGGGTAAATCATTCAGAAAAGGTCTCAATGAAAATAAGAACAATTATGTCTATGAAACCCTTGGAAAGTGTTAGTTAAAATGATAGATTCTACTACTTACAGGATCATGAAGCTCAGAAAATCATGAGCAACATACAACCAAGACCCTTTATCATTGTTTGGGAGCCGCCCCACTGCCTATTGCATATGCTGCAATTCATTGTTCTTCGGATTCATGGTTTTCTTTAATTCAGAAAACTGAGTTCTTTCAGCCATGGATTAACTCTGATGGAGTATCCTGTACAACAATGTGCAAACACGATCACAGACTAATAATGTCCTCTTTATGCAATTTTTTTTGGGAAAGACCTTCATACATGGCAAGAGTTTACAACTTCGCATATGCAAAGTTTTATATGGAAAATAATAGGCTCAAATCACTCAAGGTGAAGATATCAGAGTCATCTGCAGGAGCTTCAGTTTTTTCTTTTTAATTCATTTTCTTCAAATGAATGCACACGGTTTCCACAACTTGCACATATAATTTCACTCAAATAACACTACAACTACATTTTGTAACCACACAAAAGTTGTGTAGTAGCCATTTTGGAGAATCGATAATCAGCAAACGTTATGTTGTGTATATACAGCAATCAATGATAAAAAAACCAGCTCACCTTTTAAAGGCATTCAAAACAACAGATAGTCGGATTGAAGGTGACACAACACTTTCTTGGCAGACTCAGATGTGATCATCAAAGAATTGAGCATTATACTAAACTGAAAAAATTCATTAAGTTAAAAACCGATGGCAGATTGAGAAAGAAAGAAAAAACCTGTCTACTGCAGAAAAGGAATATGAGCAACAACAACCAATTCCAGATTTTAACACAAAAGGAGCACCCATATATATTTTCTGGCCCTATTAGGGGCAAATAACTCATCAAAGATGGAGTTTAGACATTATATGTGATCAAGCATCACGTATGGATAAACAGAACATCATCATAGAAAGTAAAATACTTAGAAAGGCATTAGAATTGCTGGCAAGTACCTGATTAAGAAGTTGGACCTGCCGGGTGAAGGCTTCCTGATGATTTGGAAGGTAAATTCCCAAAACTGGCATAAGCTCATTAACTTGTAAATATACAGAGCAATGCAGCAGCATTGTAAAGAACTACTTCAAATAAAGAATATATGGAAATATGACAAAGCAAAGAGGCATTTTGAAGCAAGTCATCTCTTTCTTGGAATGACTATAGACAAACATTAGAGAAGACTACGCCATTCTTTGTATAGAAGCATAAAAACAACAACAGAAAATGCACAAAGGGACGGGAGCGGCCAAAATGAATGTCACACTAAGGAAAAAAGAACAGATGCAAGGTTAGCGAGAAAATTGTCTTCTATACTTGTTAAGACACGATGAAATTACATATTCCAATCTTGGTATGTTTGTATTTTCAGCTCAATTAAAAATGATCCCTGGTATATGTAGACTCACATACTGAACACATGTAGACAGGATTGAGAAATATGGTAGAAATTCAATTTTGTAGACAGGACTGAACCCATCGGATCCAAGCACGTTCTTGGTAGAGAATGTAGACTCAAATTGCTATGGCTGATCACATATAACAGACGGGGCTCCACAATAGAAACCCGTCACAAATTCATTGAATTGCCACACAATTAATGTCTAAACTCCATCTTTGATGAGTTACTCACAACTTAAGAGTAGACAGAAACAATCAACAATAAAGTCTAAATACACTATTGACTGCGTACGAAGTTGTCCTTCCATTCAGTTCTGCAACATCATGAATTTAATTCTGCAACTTAAGAGAGAATATAACCACACCATATTCATGGATTCAGTTCTGCAACTTAATATATAATTACTTTCAGATGCAGGCCATATGCCCAACAGTTGGTCAACAACTTCCAAACCCCATGCATGCACATTACCACTATAATTCCACGATGGGAATCAATGATTGAAAGAGCTAAAACAGACAGTAAGGCAAAGGAATATGAGCAACAACAACCAATTCCACATTTTAATGGTTTAAGTATATTATTTGAAGATCCTAAGGTGAAAGAAGGAAAAGGAGCAACCAAATAAAATGGCCATTTAGAAGAAACCAACTCCTGCAAGGACAATAACAAAAGTTCCTATACCCGGAGGTCTGATATTTGAAGTGAGCGAGGCAAGTACTCTTAGAAATGGAGGAAAGGAGAAGGTATGTAAGAAAAGGGGGAGATGCAGTTTACTCACAAGCATGTCAACTCCAGGAAGTAAACGTTGTTCCTCAAAGCAAAAGCATTGTATGGTGTTGAAGTATACAACAGCCTGCAACGAAAACTTAAGCCACAAATGAAAGAGAATCAGTCACAAAGGATAGGATTTAGTTCATTCACGGTAGAGAGTGACATCAGGATTCCATCCATGTCAATCAAGCTGCATTACTCAATCAGAGCATCATAATAATCTATGATCGAGCCATAAGGATTCTGATTACAAAAATTGATTCTGGTTTTGACACTTTTTTTCATAGTTTCCACACTATGGATGATTCTGTTTTGAAGCCAATTGCAAAAGAGTTTGCAGAACAAATGACTAAAAAAAGCATTCCAATGATCATAGCTTAAAGTTTAACGCCTAATTTTGGCATTTCAGAGTATAAAAGCCCTCAGTGGACCGCAACACGAAAAACAGTGATCACTTTATTAGGCCACAAATCGCAGCAGAACATTCCAAATTGAAACAAACGCCTTCATTGACAACCAGTGAAGCCTTTAACATCTACCATACATCCACTGAATTCGTGGGTCTCAATTCGGTTAGATTCATAAGTAGATTAATAATGTATTTGATTCATACGGGCTGGTGTAGTACCACCAGCAGCACAGAAATTAGATCAACCCATATCAGGTAGGCACACTCACACAGTGTAGCAAGCATCTTATAAATCCCCATTCACAATTTCTCACCCACGCAACCGGAAAGATACAAAACTAAGGTCGAGTTTCATGTAATAAAAAAAGCTAAACCATTATAAGAAAAAAAAACATCCACTACTTAATCTAGAGATTCCATGAGCTTTCCCATTGTAGCTATTGAGTGCGGGAACTTACCAATCGAAGAACCATAGCTTCAGAGGTATTGAAGCAGGTCCTCCTACAACATCAGTTATTCCCGGGATGGATGGAATAACTAATTTCACCAAATAGAAGAGAGAGAACGCTCAGGTGCCTTGTCGTCCTTCAAGCTAGCCTCCAACAGTCTCTACTCTCTAGAGCAATTACAGACTGCCGAGAAATTTTCCCTCTGAAAATGCTTCAACCACGAATTTTCTTCATTCCCGCCGTCCACAAGCCTTCTCCTTACATCCTTCTAGCAATCCCCCGGCTCCGACTTCACCACCTCGCCTGGCGATTGCAGCTGCAGCTGCAACTCCATCTCTTCGCCCTGGTTCATTGCTGCCACATTCAATTCTCCTCCATTCTCTCTTATCGCTCCAATTGCCACCCTGAAAATCCTAGCTGCGCAGGCACCGACTTCTTCCTCGTCAACTTTTAACATTGCTTTACCGGCATTAGATTCAGCGACGACAGTAATATCCCAAAATCTAGAACTCTGTGATAAAGACCCTGAAATCCAGTTTAGTCGTTTCAACTCTGAAAGATTGCACCTACCTTAAACCAAGGAACTTCACAACCAATCGAACCCATCACACTGGAAAGTCATGGCCAACGAAGTAAAACCCCTTTATGAGAAAGGTCATAGGCATTCAGTATGAAGTATGATGTGTGAAAGATCCTGCTGTCTAGGGCCAACAGTATTGGTAGTACCCCATTACCAAGTCAATTGTAGTTCACATTTTCAATAAGTGAGTAGAACCCCAGGTTTGACAAACCTTAAGCGAACAATGAAGGAAGGTGAAATAACCAAAATAAATATTGGTGCAGGGAGGAACACATACCCCGGAATTAGTTCATATAATTCGAGAAAGCTATAGCCATATCTCTGCTTCTTCTTCTCGTTGGTAATTCTCGGTAGGTTCCCCTTTCAGACTTTTCTCACAGCAATTCGATTCCCTCGTTTCGTTCTCGATTGGTGCAGGGAGGGGTCTGCGCTGCGGTGCGATTGCTTCAATTGGTTGAGATTGTTTAGGTTTTATCCACTTGTCTTTTAGTATTGTGGGGGGAAGCAAGTCTGATCCACACCCACTACGCACTACTCCATCAACCCCGTTGTGGTTCATCGATCGGTGATGAGGATTATGCCTCTCCAGTTTTCTGTGGTTCATCGATAGGAGGGGGAGGAGTAAGTTTGCATTTTCTAAAGAAGGCGTCGATAAAATGGAGATTCACAGATCGGAAATTGAGATACTGACCTCAAATATAAGGCTCCGATCGTTCTAAAGAAGTCATCCAACGAAACCAATTTTTGCTGTGAATCAAAAGCTGTGCGGCCGGTGGTGACGATGTGCGTGAAAACTAAACTCACGAAACAAAGGGCCAAAAATGGTAAGTCTGGCGGTCTGGGTTGCCATCCTTGACTGGTGAAGGTGCTCTCCCTCTGCCTACAAATGCAATCGGATCGGAAGCTTGGTTACTGTGGGGTGATGGGAAGGAATGAGTTTAGTCGCCGACGGATTATGGTTGAGTTTGTCGTTGCTGCGGGAAGGGGAATAGGTTTCAGGGGAGATAGGGAACTGGCGTGAACTTTGCTGCAGGAAGGAGAGAGAAATACAGGGGCGAATGATTACGGAAAAAGTTGAGGGAAGAGAAACTCAATTGACGGAAGATGAAAGAGGAAAGAAAGCCCGCCTAAATGGGCTGCCACATCATTCTCCGAAATTCACTCTAAGGACAGGGAATTTTGAATGGTGGTAGCAGTTTTACTTTTCAGCTATAAATGATACTGTTGACATAAAAAGATTCATTCAGCCACAATATGGTTCAAAGTGCAGTTGATGGCACCACTCAATGTGATTAAAGATGGAGGAACAGTTGATGACACCACTCATTCTGAATAAAGCTTGAAGAACAGTTGATGGCACCACTCATTCTTATTATAGTTGGATAAACCGTTGTTGTCACCACTCATTTTGATCAAAGTTGGGTTAATAGTTGATGTCACAACTCATTTTGTGAAACATGTGATGAGTCATAGTCTTCTGAAACATTATTGTGAAATCGTCATTAATGACGTCATATTTAATTAATGATGGGAAAAAATTATGCCCAAATGAAAAAAATTATATCACAATGTTCGTCTTAATTAATTATTTCAATCTATATAAAAAGATTGATAAAATTATATAAGTAAAGTGACAAAATCAACACTAAACTAATTTTTATCAAAAAACACTCCTTCCACTTTTCCCACCCCCAAACCCAAAAAAATTCATTTTTCCCACCCTTCCCACCCAACCATTGTGGGTGGTCTTAGAGATGAATCTTATGATAATGAGTCAAACATGAAAGGAGAACATAGTGGTGTTCAAAGAAGGTTATTGGATGTAGATCGTAGATCATTTCATACATCATGTGCTTCTCATAGTCTTAATTTGACATTATGGAATATGGGAAATTCTTGTGGTAAAGCTAGAGATTTTTTGGAATTATTTATATGATATTTTCAAATTCTAATAAAAAGATGGCTTATTTTGAAAAATAATTTTAATTTGACTTTGAAACCATTATCATCTACTCGTTGGAAGAGTCATGTTGAAAGTGTAAAAGCAATTAGATTTCAAATGCCAGAAGTGAGAGAAGCCTTATTTCAAGTAGCTGATCTTGATGCCAATTCGAAAATTAGAAGTGAAGATAAATCTTTAGCACAAAGTGAATGTGGTGATTTTGAGTTTATTGTTTCATTAGTTATTTGGTATGAAGTATTGTTTTCAACAAATTCGGTTAGTAAACATTTACAATCCAATATATACTTATTGATGATGTTATTTCAAAAATGGATGGATTGATTTCATTTTTCAAAAGATATAGAGAAGATGGTTTTCAAAAAGCCTTATAGCTAGCAAAGGAAGTTTGCACTACAATGGATGTTGTTCCAAATTTACCTCAAAGGCGTGAGATTAAAAGAAAGAGGTATTTTAACGAGGTTCCTGAAAATTTGTCAAGTAATACAATCATTTATAGTTAATTATTTATTATCTGTAGTGGATCAAGCAATTTCTTCACTTACTAAAAGATTTGACCAATAGTTTTCAATTAAATTTTGGTTTCTTATTTACTTATGAAAAACTATTTTATTTGGATGATTCAAGTTTGAAGTCTTCTTGCATGCATATTCAAACCATACTTAAGAACAATGACCAATCTGATATTGATGGTAATGATTTATATTCCGAGCTTAAGTTATTACCATATTTGTAACCTAAGGAATGTGTTCTTCCTTTTGAAATTTTAAATATTTTGAAATGCGTCGATTGTTTTCCTAATGCAAGCATAGTATATAGAATCTTATTAATTATTCATGTGACCGTTGCCACAACAGAAAAAAGTTTTTCGAAGTTGAAGTTGTTGAAGTCTTATTTGCGCTCTACAATGACACAAGAGAGACTTAACGGGTTAGCTATGTTGGTAATTGAGAATAACTTCTTAGATGATGCAAAGATGGAAGATCTAATAGAGGAATTTTATTTCAAATAATACTAGACGGTCTTTTCAAACAATGATTGATAATATTATTCCTTTTGTAATAAATATTCTATAGTTATGTAATTTTTTATTATTTAATTAATTTTTTTTAACAAATTTGTAGAGAAAATTTTTTAGGGCTGGATTTTTAATTTTCGAAAAGGGCCTCCGAATATCACGGGCATGCCCTGTTTGCCATCAAACTCACCTCCTCCAACTAGGGGTGGGCATTGGGTGGGTTGACTCACTTCTACTGTCACCCTAGGAATTGGCCAAGTGAAACCACTTCCTAAAGCGTAGTATAGCGGGTTTGGGTTTAATTATCAACCCGGGTCCTAGATGATGACTACTCAGTGAGTTCTTGTTATCTAGCAATAAAACTTTAATGCAGTTCTAAACTAACAAACTAACAAAGCAAGTAAACGGTTGTATTCAGGTTAAGAGAGGTCACCCGGATATGGTCCCCCTAGACTGCAGTTAAGCCGGATTGTAATTAACAAGTTCAGTTTCTATGATAGTTATACTGCGGAAGGTTCTCAAACAGCCTGAAGTCTCGACTAAAGGTCTTCAGACCCTCTCAATATGAGTCTCTAGCGGGCGACTAACCTCCACCGGAGTAAACAGATTGAGGCCCTAAGAACAAAACCTCCACTACCGGAGTAAATCCGGTACAGAATAGTGAGTTGGCTCCTCGACTAAAGTCACCAACTCCCTACCTTCAATCAAGGATGCTCTATTAACCTAGGCAGATATTCTCATTCTAGGTTAAAGTAGAAACAACAGGAATTTGATCAGGATTCAAGTCATTCAATCATTCAAACCTCAATCGGATATAATCAATCATAGAATCAGTACTTGGGTTCATACAATCAAACCTAACATACAAATCTAGGGTTCTCCATACCCAGATGAATGGGAGAACTACTCCATGGAGAAAGAAGCAAAAGCAGAATCAGACGCGGAATTCATACTGTGAAGGATGGATTCCTGCTTCTGGACGTTGATCGGCACTTCTCCAAGCTCAACTGGCCTCCAATGGTGTTGAAGATCAAGCTAGGGCACTTGGAGACTCTTGTTCGTCGCTTTCTCTCTCTAGGAATCGATCTCTCTCTCTCTAAAACTCGAATCCCCTTCTATTTGGCTGAAAATCTGCTTAAAAGGGCATTAGTGGCCAAAGCACGGTCGAGGGCACGGCCGTGTAATGCCTCAGCCCGCCCGTGCTTTGGCTAGTGTTAATTACACGGCCAGTGCATTGGGAGAAACACGGTCGTGCTTTGGTGGAACACGGCCGTGCTTTGTTTCGGCCCTGCCCGTGTAATCAGCTCAGCTCTCGGCATAAAAAGCACGGCCACTAGAACACGGCCGTGTAATGATTTAGGTGTGCCCTTGTTTTGGCTCCAGCTCACCGAAATGACTTCCGAATGCCCCAAAACTCGCGCTTAGCCTTCCCTTTGACACCTGGGACCTGAAACATGACAAAATAGCACAACCCGGCGTAAAATAGGCCACAATACACGACTATGCCCCTCAAACGGATAAGAACTAGGGGCGCAAATATGTGCAATTACATCATTATCATGGGTCGGATGCATTTTGACTATAAAACGCACGCATCCGCGCTTAAACGAATTGATAATTTTTGACCCATCACCGACCCACATTTAGTCTCAAGTTGGGTCGGCGGATGGTGGATGATATGGGTGGGTTTGTGGGTTCACCCACATCACAATGTATATAAAATAAAGGAGTCAACTTGACATGAGAATTGGTGGAGAGAGTTAGCGGAAGGAAACAAGAAGATGAAATAGGAAAAAATGTCAAATTAGCTATGAAATTGGGTATAAACTCCATAATGGAGTTTTCTACAGATGGAGATGATGATCAAGTGCAGGGAACTAGGAAAAATAATTCGACGAAGCAAAGAGAGATCATGTAGGCACAATAATCAGAGGAAAAATAAAGGGAAGAAGAGGGGATAGCAATTTGGAAGGTTGGCTTTGAGGTTCAATCTACAGGAAAAGTCCTAGTTTCTGTCTAACGTCTCCTCTCTCCACTCTCCAGGACCAACGACTTTGTTCCTTTTCCTGTTGGGTTGAGCGGGTCACCGGCGCACCCGCCCACAACCCACTCGCCACCCGACGGGTAGCTCCCAGCCCAACCCGTCACCCACCCACATAACAAAATTCGAGTCAAATGAGGGTGGGTCGGCCCAAACCCGCGGGTGATCCGCCGCCGGCATGCCCAGCCCTACCTCCAACTAATCCATCTGAAAAATGCAGCTTGAGCCACTGCTCCGCAAATATGGCCTTATCTCGCACATTGATCCTACTGCTCCGGTCCCTTCCCAGTTCATCAATGGTGAAACTGTCAAATAATCAAAGTAGGAAAGAAGAAAACCAAAGTTTTTTAACGTGGTATCGTCAATATGACACTAGTCCACGGAGAGGATCTCCCTCTTAGTTTTTTGTCTTCTTATTTGTTATCTTTCAACGATAATACACCGTACAATATATAGGTTTACCTCAAAACCCTAACTACACGATTTACAGGACAATTACACATTAGTACCCAAACTATCACAAACTAACACCCTCCCTCAAATTGACGTTGGGTGGGCAACATCAATTTGGAAGACAGGTATCAATATCTACTCGAGCTAACTGCTTTCGTCAATACATCTGCAGTCTGATCTTCAGTGGCTAAGTAACTCAGCTGAACAACTCCTTCTGCGACAAGTTGCCTGATATAATGAACATGCACTTCTATGTGCTTTGTCCTGTCGTATAGTACAGGATTCACTGTGATCTGAATCACACTTGTATTGTCTCAAAATATCCTCATAGGCATATGACAGTCTACTCCGAGGTCTTGAAACAGTCTCTGCAACCAGACCATTTCTGAACTTACCTCTGACATTGACTGGTATTCTGCCTCTGTTGAAGACTTAGACACTTTGGCTTGCTTCCGACACCTCCCGGAGATAAAAGAACGTCCAATCTTAATGCATCATCTGGATGTAGATCTTCTAGTATCAAGACAACCAGCATAGTCGGCATCGGCCAATGCTTCTATCAACGGGCTTCCATCAGCAGGAAAGAAGATTCCGACATCTCTGGTACCCTACAGGTAACGCATC